CCGCCTGGCCGCGGGTCTTGGGGAGCTGTTCACGCGCAGCCTCGGTGTCCCAGCCAAGCAACCCAGATAACAACAGCGCTCAGGGCTGCCTGCGTCCCATGAGTTAGTAGACGCAGAGCTCTTAGAAACGATGACTAGGGGCCGGGGATTTAGCTCAGCGGCAAAAGCGCCTGTCTGGCAAGCGTGAGGTCGTGAGTTCGGTTTCCGGTACCGGAGAAAAAAAACAGAAACGATGACTAGACCCTAGAAAGTGCTTACACATAACCTGATAGAAGTGTTTGATGGATAAATAAAAGTCGGTGAATTACATCTAGGTCTCAGGCGACCGAGGACAAGCACTGGCGGGACTGGCGACAGCGGCCCGGAGGTCACAGAGTGGCCGAGTCCGGGCAGTGAAGCCTCTGCTCAAGCGTACGTCTGGGGGATCCCAGCCCTGGAAGGACACTGGTGAGTGCTGCCTCATGGGCTGTGTGGTTTTTAACGTGGCGCTGGGACGGCACCCAGGGCCTGCTGGGTCAGCTTGCTCCCACCGAGGCATGCCCTCGCCCGGCGTCTTGTAATTCTGAAGACCGTGCAAGACTTCAGTAAGGGCTACCTGAAAGATCCATTGACAGTTATGTTAAATGTCCAGCCCTGATCGACTCTTGAGACTGAAACGAAAGTTTTAAACAGTAGAAAGTTTTCTTAACCATTCTGGACACAGGAAGTAAGACTTCATTAAAACTGCCATCTGAAAGACTTTTATTTCGTAACAACGTAGTGATCTTCACTTAATATATATTTATAGAACCCTTTCTATGGTAGTCAGTGTTGTTTGCTGGATAAGACTTGAAGTCTTGCTCTAGTGGGGTTTACTTTCTAGTGAGGAAGATAGCAAGTAAATCAACCGTACAATTTTAGATATTTAAAAGTGCTACAGAGAAGGTAAGGCAGAATTTATAAAGCCAACCAGCATATTCAAGAAGTGGTAAAAGTCCCACAAACAAAACTATACCCTGTAAAGTCTGTAAGTAAAACAGAGTGAACATCATTCGGTAGGAAACTGCTACTTGTTCCAGGGTGTTCTTCATTCCTGTGAACGTTGGCCTCGCAGGACATACAACACATAGACCTGCCACCAAACACGCAACTTTATTTCTCAACAGAAGCCTTGGCCTAAACCACTCATGTTCTGTCCCTTGCGAAGTTTCACTTCTTATAGGGAAACCTCTGGTTTCTGTTTCTTTTGAATCTGACCAAGTTTATAAACAACAAAAACAACAACAAACAGCCTTTTCCCAAACCCCTTTCTAGCTTCATCTCCCAGCAGAATTAAATATTAAAAAGTCTAAAAATGGAAGGCTTTGTTTTCATGTTGTGTTTATTTCACCACTCCTACTAAGTTCTGCCTGTGATTCTGGGTATCTGCAGGATACAGCAGAACTCCTTAGGCCCTGCGACTGGAGCTGGTAGGGATTCTGCACTTTGGAAAGGAACACACTCTACGAACTTTTCAGCAAGAATTAGTAATCTAGTTTTTGATCTTGGATTCTACAATGGAGCGATACTGACTACCCAAGGAGATCTCATCCGAGTTTCTTTCCTTCTTAGTTCTCCAGGTCCCAGGGTTTGCTCAGGGAGGCAGAAGCACAGAAGATGCCATGGCAGCTGCCAGATCTCCTCCAGAGTCCCAGGTGAGTTGGAGTCCCTTCCTGCCCACATCCTGCACCTTTGCTACAGTTGAGCTTCCTCTCAGGTTCCTACCTCCCCAGTTCTACCCCCCCCTACCCCACATGCACATGAGATTGGAGATTTTTCACTTGGTCATTGCTTATCACTGTGCTTTATTTGATGCCCCTTCAGAGGCTCTTTTTGTTTTCCTGTTACCCTGAAGTGCCCCCTGTGCTGCTCCTATCTTTCCTACCCCATCCTGTCGTCAGCCCTGTCTTCATGGGATGTTATTCTTCAACAACGGCAATTGAGTAAACGCAAACTGAAGGTTTCATTGTGACAGTGGTTTGTTTGTTTAGTGGTTCTGTTTTTGTTTTGCAGTGGAAATTGGAATTTGAACCCAGGGTCTCACGCGTGCTAGGCAAACTCTTCCCTACTGAGCTACATCCTTAGCCCTATTTTTAAAAATACAGTATAATAAAGCACACTCTTGGTGAGGAATATAAAAATCTGGCCTCTATCTTCTGAGCATTACATTTGAAGCAAACGCATATTTCATGTCCTTTTAGTCTGAAGTTGGTTATATTTCAGTAGGAGAAATCTGTACTTAGCCTAGATTTTCCTTTGTTGCTCAATTTTTTAGGCCCTGCTTGAGGTTCTCAGGATCCTTTGTTTTCTTTTATTTTTTCCTTATCTCACACTTAGATTTCATTGGGCTTTTTAAGAATAGTAATGTAAATGAGCCCTCACAACCCCCCTACCATACCACAAATCTTTTTAAGACTGGATATTTCTATTCCTTTTGCTGCACTGCCTCCTGTTTTCCAAGCCTTCCTGCTTTCCAGACTTCATAATGTCTTGCTTTTGCTTTGTGTGTGTGTGTGTGTGTTTGTTTGTTGTGGTTCTTTTTGGATAAAGATGCTATTGGCTAGGTTTAAGTGTATCAGGTATGCCACTTTTCCTTCCTAAAGCGCCCCTATAAAGGGTAAGTCCATTCTGTGCACATACCTGCTTTGGGAGTGATGATGGGCAAAAGGTGTGAGCTGGGACTCTTTATTGTTTTAGGAGTTCCTGAAAATGGAAGGTGTGACCCTGATGCTCTCCCCTGGGTGGACACAGCTGGGTTCTCCAGCGAAATTCTGCAGAGGTAAAAGGCAGGGGAGCTGTGGCCACCCCAGTTCCCTAGGTAAGACACACGAGCACTGGTTCTCCTACCTGTGATGCTGGCCTGTTAGAAGCTGTATGGATGCAGAATGACCCTCTGGGAACTCGCTTCTGACTAGCTATGTAACTTGCTCCCTAAACCTTCTGACCCATTGATTCTTTTCTACCCAGCCAGAATTACATTCACTGTAGGTCAGATGTTGGAGCTGCAGCCCTCAGTACAGGTCTGGCTCACACTAGATCCTCAGTAAGTGCTGATTCCCTTCCTGTTCCTAGACCTGACTGAGGAAAGCTGAGGGACACTTAAGAAAATGGGCCATGGTGCCAGAGTGTGAGTTAGAAGCGGCCTTAGGCACTGACTACAGACCTTGACCTTAGAGGTGCGGGTGTGGAGGGACAAGGGGTTACGTACTTGTCAGAGGTCACACAGCTGAGACCTTGTCCTATGGTGGGACAAAATACCTCTGATCCACAATTTAAGGGAGGAGGTTTATTTCAGTTCACAACTTGTGAGGTTTCAGTCCACTGTCAGCTGGCTCCAGAGCAGAGGCATCATGGAAGAAAGGTGTGGCAGAGGAAAGCTGGCCAACTCATGGAAGTTAGGAAGCAGTGTGGGTTACAAAACCCCAGAGAGGAAGGGGCCAGGCAGCAGGCACAGTCCCCAGGTCTCACCCCCATGACCCACCTCCTCCAACCAGGCCTTACCTCTAACAGCCCATATAGCTACGAGCTCATCAGCAGGTTAACTCATTCATGCGGTTGGTACCCTCTTAACCTGTCACACTGACAATCAAGATTCACCAACACAGCAGCATAGTGGGGGCTCCAGTCTGAACTCCCAGGGCCAGTGACACTTCTGTTTGGGGACCATGCCTCTGCTGGCATGACTGAACAGTCATGTGACAGTTCCTGTCGCATTGATCAGAACCAAGTTCTAAGTCCCCACTTTTGCTGTTTCTAACAGAACATTTCAGAAATCCTTCCACTTGCCCAGTTTACTGCCGCCTTCTGCTTGGCCCCTTCAGCATCTAGTCCTCAGTGTGTGGCCCTGCCTTTTCTTATTGCTTAGTGACCCCCCCACAACTGAGCACCGTGTCTCCCTAGCACAGTCCTTGGCCTCATGGCCCCGCCCCTCCATCCCCACCTGCACCTTCTCCCAGTGCACTGCCCCACTCCCAGGTCTCTTCCTCCCCAGCGCCTTTACTCCCATCCTCATCCCTGCACTTCAGTCCTTGCCGTGCAGGGACCCCTGCGATTCTTGTCTCCCTGATGCTCGTCACAGAGCTTTCTTCCCACACAGGGCCTCACTCACCGTTGCTGGCCCTCGTTGTTTCAGGTGGTGAAATGCAGGCTAAGATCAGGGGCTTGTCTCCAGCTAAGGAGTGTCCAGGACAAGAGCCTGGGCAGACTCCGTGCCACCTGGATGAGGACACTGCCCAAGTTCCTGTCTGTGCTGAAGCTGGTGAATGGGAGGACAGGTTACAGAGAAAGCAGAAAAATGCTACAGGGAGCAGGCGGCACATTTGCCTTGAATGTGGAAAGAGCTTTGCTCAAAGTTCAGGCCTGACCAAGCACAGGAGGATCCACACTGGAGAGAAACCCTACGAGTGTGAGGAGTGTGGGAAGACCTTCATCGGGAGCTCTGCCCTTGTCATTCACCAAAGAGTCCATACGGGTGAGAAGCCGTATGAGTGTGAAGAGTGTGGCAAGGTCTTCAGTCACAGCTCAAACCTTATCAAACACCAGAGAACACACACGGGAGAGAAGCCCTATGAGTGTGAGGACTGTGGGAAAACCTTCAGCCAGAGCTGCAGCCTCCTTGAACATCACAAGATTCACACTGGGGAGAAGCCATACCAGTGCACCATGTGTGGCAAAGCCTTTAGGCGGAATTCACATCTCTTGAGACACCAGAGGATCCATGGAAATGAAAATAAGCTTGGAGAGGTTGGTAAGGCCAAGATGGAAAGCCAGTGGGACAGTGCTGAAACTCCTGTGTCTTTCAAATGTAATGAGTGTGAGAGAAGTTTCACGCGGAATAGAAGCCTTATTGAACATCAAAAAATCCACACTGGTGAGAAACCCTATCAGTGTGATGCGTGTGGAAAAGGCTTCACCCGAACTTCATACCTCTCTCAGCATCAGAGGAGCCATGTAGGGAAGAAAGTTCTGTCTCAGTGACCCCATGTGTGCATAGCAGAGTTGGTGCTCATTTGTAATTGAATGGAAGCCACGTGGAGCCTTGCTGGCTACAGAAGTTGTGGGTGGGGTTTTATTTACTAATACACATCATCAGGTGTTAGAAAATATATTCTGGCTGGGGTGAATTATCGTCTATATTTTAGAAGGTGATTGGAACAATACTTGACACAATAGCGTGGGAATATTGCCTGGAAGAGGTAGGACCTGAGGTGTTTTGTTCTCATGTGTCAAATTTAATTGGCCGTTCAGAATGACCAGTGGACTGCAGGCCGCACTTTTTTCTCCTAGATGGATGGCTCCTGATTTATGGGGCTTCTGCTCTCACCATTCAGTTGCCAGTAATGAGTCCTTCATGAGTTGGTCACAACGAGAATGGCTTTTACCTGTCATTGTGCCTTGCGTATAGGTGCTAATAAACATTTACTAGACATATCATAAAATGACCTTTAAAGCTGTGAACATCTGTCTCTGAGTTTCTGGTGAATTTCTAAGGCTGTATGTGTTGTTATCTAATTCTTGAAGATTCTAGATTCTGGGTCCATCTGAGCTAAATATGTAATGTTTCCAGAGTTAAGGTGGGAATCCGTATTTCTCCATGAGGGTAGCACTTAAAGTAAGAATACCTTAACAGGAAAGGCCTTTAGGCATAGTTCTTAATCGCCGAGAACCTTGGAGACAGCTGCAGCCCTAGGACTCTAATAGTACACATGAAATTTGCTGTTCTTTAAAGGGAAGTCTTTCACAATCTGGTGAATAAAAATCAATGTATTAAGTCAGGTCAAAGTGATTAAGAATTTTGCTGTAACTTCTGTAATGTTCATCAGCCTCTCACTTTTCACCCATCTTGGACCTGGCTGGGCTCTAAGATACCGTCTGTATCTCTCTCCCCCAGCTTTCAGCAGACTGCATCAGGCTTGTGCTAGCTGAGCGTAACTTTCCCCTGGTCAGAGATTCACACCACGTATTTATAGTTATTATCATGGCTTCAAAACTACCCTGTGGGTTTGGAATATGAAGACAGGTAAGCAGCAGCTGGGGTGGACAGAAATCCAAGTGTGGATGGTAGGAGAAAAGGAACTGTTCAGAAGCATGCTGAAAATCCCAGGTTCCTGGGGTTAAAGACTCCCCAATACCCAAAAATGTCAACATCTAAAGTCAAGTCATTGCTGTGTTAATCATAAGAAATAAGACTTTGATGGTAGCCCCATTTTTCACCAAAATCACCTATATTTTGAAGACTGATAATCTTCTTCATAGGTGTCTGAGTATGTATCACCAGCTGCAGCCTTGCTGGGCTGCCAGGAATGGATTCCAATTCTGAAGAAATCCAGGACCACGCTTTATTCCATCTGCAGCCAGTGTTGCTCTCTTCTCAAGTACCCAGTCTGGGTTTCTGCTCTGAAGCATCGCAGGCTGATTCCAGGCTCTCAGAACCAGGGGCTCTCCCTTTCATAGCTCCCTGTACTGCTTCATTGCCTTCATTATCCCCTCATTTCAGTCTAATTTAAATCTTTAGCTTCCTAAAGTTCCTTAGACTCTCCAGGCAATCTTTTGTAGCCTTTAACATTTCCTTTTACATTAACTTTTTTTTGCTATCTTTGCACTTAGCTACTTCTTTTTCTCTCCTTTAAATCTTTACTTTTTCTAAATAGTAATTTCCCTGACCATAAGCACCCAAACTCATTGTGGAATAGCAACTTTGTTCATTTTTCTTTGTTATTTATTGTTTTTGCTATTACATGAGATGTATGTGAAAGTGCTTTACAGACCAGAAAGCATCATGCAAGTGTAACTTACTAACAAAGGAGCCCTATGCCTTTCATTCTTTCTGCTCCTTCTCAGCCTAAAATCTTTTCTGTAGAAGACAGAAATATAGAGTATATTTAGTGCCTACTATGCTAGATGGTAGAAGACACAGTCTCTAACCACCCCTGTGTGTGTATGTGTACACGCACATTCCCACATATTTGGACTTATGCTTTTAGTACAAAGAGCTTGGTGGGACTCAGAGGACAGTGCAATGATAAATGCTTTGGGAGTGGTAAATTGTGGTTTTTTTTTTTTTATTTCAAAGAGTAAAAGAAGGATAATAATGGGGGGGCTTACCAAATTACAGACAAAGTGGTAGGAAATTATCAATGGTTTGTTTTACATACTGTTACCTACAAGATAGTTTCTCAGGAAAACAAATAGACAAATAATAGTGCGTTACAGACAAAAGAGGTAGGAGATTATCAATAGTCGTACTCAGGTATCTTCGAAAGAAAATACATAGAACTATACATGAGTGACCTATTGAGTAATCATTAACTATTCTCAATGGTTGTTGTAGGAAACACATAATAATAAACATGCATCCATTTATGAAATAGGATAGGAACAATACAAACATTACAGAGTTATGGATAGATTAGTAGGAAAATATCAATGACTGCTGTAATACATGTTGGTATCTTAGAAGTGGTTTCTCAGGAAGACAGAGATACGCAAGAAGGATCTAACAAGTAGTTACAGCCTAAGGGCTGTCAAAAATCAAGTGAACCATCTGGGGCCAATGCCATTTTTTGTAGCGTTTTCTCTCCAGCCTCCCATCGCATTGGGACCCCACAACCAGTTAGTGTCCTCTCCCCAACTGTCAGCACAGGCAGCAGGAATCCTGTTGCAGACTTCTCCAGGGCTCCACCACCGCCTGGACTGTCAGGGGAAGAATGGCTTCCAGGGAGTCTCCGCATGTGTTGTGCAAGGTCCTCCTGGTTTACAGCTTCTGAGCAGCTCTCATGACCCCAGTCCACAGGACCTCTAACTCCTCGGGCTTAGTCTGCATTCTCATGTTCTCCGAGTCCTTGTTCAGCAGCTGCTCCTCTGCTGACTCTAGACCTTTCTGGCTCTCAATGGCAGGAGCAAGAGTGGCCCGTTGTATAGCATGTATTCCCAGGGGTTTTTCCATGTTTGAATGATTCACACACGTCCTTAGGTGGGCATCTGCAGCCGGTGCATGGTGGGCCAATTGTGTCATTGTTCCTCTGTGTCATGATAGTTCTCAACTGAGCAGCAGCGGCCGGCCTGAAGGCCAGCATGCAACAGCGCTCTCGGCCCCATGGCTCCCCGTGTGCTGGGGGCCCTCCCTCCAGGGGCCTACAAGGCAGGAAGTAAGCCAGCCGGAAGACAGGCACTCCCTGCCCGTGGCTCCCCGTGCACCAGAGGCCCTCCCTCCGGGGGCCTACGAGGCAGGGAGCGAGCTGCCAGGGAGGGAGCTGCCGGTGGGAAGACCGGCGTAGGAGTGGTAAATTGATGGGTGTGTAACTTTAGAGAAAGAAAAGATGACTTCCAGCTATGTAAGCTATCATTACATGGACAGGGTGATGTGTTAGAGATCTGAGAAGATGATAAAGACTTTGTCACATTCAGTAAGGGCAGTTTGAAAGATAGGTACATCACAGGGGCTTTCGGTGCCAGAGCAAGGACATCCACCTTCATTTAGTAAGTTCTGAAAAGCCGCTGACATTTTAAAGTCAAACATTACCTAGCAAACTATTTGGCAGTATTGTATAATTTCAAATAAAAATTATTTTGCTACAATCTTTTTAGACACCTCACTTTTCTATAAAATAAATGAGCTTATAAATAAGTGAACTATAAAATGGATTTATTTCTAAGCTATTTAAAGGGATAGTCAAAAACATTTTCAAATGAAATTAGACTCAGTAAACTGCTTAAAGAAATAAATACAGTACAGTAAAATGACATTTTTGTGCTTTTTAAAATTGTTTCTAGGAATTCTGGTCTTAGCCATTCTATTTCATTTCTCCTGAGCTAAAATGTAGCTCAGTGGTACAGTGCTTGCCTAGGCCCTAAGTTTGATTCCTGGCACTGCAAAACAAATACCCTACCACTTTTCCAACAGAAGTGAGAAGCCTTCCATTTTCTTTTTTCCTCACTTTGTTTGCATAAGTCACCACTTGTGTATTTTTCCTACATGGGTGGAATGGTTACAATGAAAAAAGCTTTTGATGAATAAATTGCCTAGATTTGTTCTTCATAGGATTTTTTTTTTTGGCGATACTGGGGATCAAACTTGGGACCTTGTGCTTGCCAGTCAGGCGCTTGTACCACTGAGGTATATCCCCAGCCCCTGATTTGTTCTTAATTTTGGCATTCTGTCTTGGTTACTTTTCTCGCATTGCTGAGACAAAATACCTGACACCCAAAATTAAGGAAGGACAGGTTTACTTAGCTTACAGTTTGTGGAGGTTTCAGTCTATACTCAGCTGGCTCCAAGGCAGGGCAGAGGGCAACAGTTTACGGTGGTGGACAATAGCAAAAGCAGCCAGAGCAAAGGCAGGAGCAGTGAGGCAGGCAGTCTCTTTTCCTCCCTTATACTGTATGCAAACTATCTACCCCGGGGCAGGTGTAGCACTCACACCCATAATCCCAGCACTGGACTATGGATCAATCAAATATCTAGAAGCCCGCCTCATGACTGCATGAGGATTTGGGGGGGGGGGGCATGCAGACACAAACCATAACAACATATATGTATGTAATTCTGCAAATTTTTCTCCCTCTTGCTTTAGTGGATGAAATAGAAATAATAGGAATGACAACTCACAAGGTTGGGAAATTTTGTATATACACATGGGGCTTTTGGTGCCAGAACAAGGACTTTGTGTTTTGTATATACACACTTTATACTGTATATACACACTTTATACTTCCACTTTAATACTGTGGAAATACTGATTGTTAAATGGATGTTAAACACTATGCTAGCTAAACCTTTATATATTGAAATTATAATTGTTTAATAATACTGTATTTTAAAAAGTATCCTGTAGCTTTATGACAGGATAGATCTAATGATCTATATCTCTGTGGTACTGTTTGCTCAATTATCCAGGATGAGATCTTTAACAACTGAATAAACTCAGTTTAGCTACTTTTCTTAAACTCCCTTTTTAGTCCATCTTTATTTTTCCCTCATCAAAGTTAAAAATTGAGTCTGGCAGATTCAGATGAAGAAACCTTTTTTTCAGTCAGCTTGAAGTGTTTTCTGTTTTAGGGCTGGGCTTGGCACTTGGGAGCCTCAGGTAGGAAGATAACTGCAAGTTTGAGGCCAGCCTGAAAGACATACATAGCAAGATCTTATCTCAAAAAGTGTTATCTGTTTTATACTTTTAAAAAGGGCTCCTACTACAGAAAATTTTCAAAATGACTACATTTCTGTGAGCTTGTTAATGTACCTCTGTCCTTTATAACAGAAATATGATTTTGTTTGTATCTACCCATATTGCTTAGTTTCTGGCACAGCAATCCCTCCCTATGCAATACCAGTCTAAGACTCTGGAATCTGAAGATAGCAAGTGCTCCTGGTCCCTCATCCCAATTAATAGTTGAACAGTGATATATCCCTGCCTGCTCCATGTATTTTATTAGGAATGGAGTCATTAACCAAAATCTGCTGTATACCTTCCAAATCCCTGTTTTTACTTCAGTTTCTAAGACTGCTACTTCAAGGTTTTCAGGGATCTAGGAAAACAATCAATGTAATTTATATATGAGTAATAAGCCATATAGTTTTTCCCTTCCTGAGTGAATGTTTAAGATTATATATTACACAATTTCCAAAATGACTGTCCTTTCTTTTCTCTAATTCTACCCACTAGTGAGATGGGTAGCTCTGGGATCCTGGGAATGGGGTTTGTAGCCTTCTAGACATATCTACACACACAAGACACAGAAGGCTGATGTAAGAGGTACACCTGTCTCACTGTGGTATCTTCAGAATCTTCCTGGTAAATCATTTAATCTGGAAGTTGACTGAATCAACTTGTTCTTTTGTATTAAAATAAATCAAGGTTCCTTGGCACCTACTGATGGAATCCTAAGAGGGGCCTTAGTTACTAGGACCACTCAGTACTCTGAACATGCGTCAACATTTGTATTATAGGTATGTTTCAGAATTATTCAGAGGAAGGTAGAAGGAGGGAGATTTATAAGTAAAACTAAATGGGCCATAAGTTGGTAACTGTTCAAGCTAAGTGATGAATACATGGGGGGTTACTATGCTATTCCACTTTTGTTTACATTTTCCATAAAAGATTTACATCTCCAGTTTTAAAAGAGTCGAGTTCCCAGTGCAATACACTTAGGAGTTAATGAAAACAGTGCAAAATCAAGTTATATGTGCACAAAGTTGTTCCAAGTATTTTCACTCCCATCTCTTGGAAAGCTTCCAAATAGTCAAATAGATTAAAGAAAACAGATGGGACCAAGGCTTTGGTAGAGAAATCGTAAAAGGGACTAGGGGACAGGAGGCAAAAGGAGCCTATGGACCGGGCATGGTGGCACATGCCTACATCCCAGCACTTGGGAGGCTGAAACAGGAGTTACTGCAAGTTCAAGGCCAGCCTGGGCTACATAATGAGCTCAAGGGCAGCCTGAACTACATAGTGAGACCTTACCTCAGACTGCCCCTCCTCCCTAAGGAGAGTCTGTGGGAGCCTCAAGCCTCAAGTTTTGCTTTTGTCCTAAGAAAATGAGATTCCTCCTTCCCACATGTAGAAAGGGATAGAGCCTTTTTGGGAGGTTTGAGAAGATTCAAGGCTATAGAGAGCTCTTCTTTGATTTTCTTAAAGATCAATAGAGTGAGGAAACATTTTTCTCCAAACCTAAACCAAATGAAGAGGAAGATTCAGATTTCTAACAGTAGCTTATATAGCATATTAATATGGACAGTGATTCAATCCTTGGATATTCTAGTATAAACTCTAGAATTTGAGATACTGGTGATTTTATGTAACACTAAAGATGTGGTATAAAAGCACTAAGAGATTTTCAGCTGATTAAGCTCAAATGAGGAAGATAATAATACCACACACACAAAAAAAGAATTACCTATGGGCCGGGGATAGAGCTCAGTGGTGGGTGCAAGTGCCTGCCTGGGAAGTGCAAGGTTGTGAGTTCGATTCCTGGTACCAAAAAGAAAACAACAACAACAACAAAAAACAACAACAAAAAAAGAAGATGATAATACCAGTATTAAGCATGACATCTTAAAGAGACAGGTCAAAAGACACCTGTCTAACTAAAAAGACATGACAAGAAACAAGAACATTAGAAACTGGGTGAAGGGTGTATAACAACTCTTACCTCTGCAACTTTTTAATAAGTCTCAAATTATTTCAAAATGTAAAGGCTACTGAAAATAAAATCTTGAGTTTCAAGCTTTGGTTCTGATGCTTGAATTCTCTGGGTTTTAGATTCCTTGTCTATAACATAGGATAGTGACAGAACTCACTTCCCTGCGTGTTTATTGCAGGGATAACCATGGTTTGAGTAAACAGACACACTCTACAGTGAGGCACGCAGCAGCACCGGTCACTATTACAAGGGAAAGTCTTGCAGGTGTCCGAGAGAAGCAGTAGGATCCAATGGTGTACACAATGTAGGCAGGGGTCATGGGAATACCGAAGACCAATTTATTATAAAACACCAGCGGAGCCCTGTTATGGTTTGTGTCTGTGTGTCCCCCCCAAGCCTCATGCGGCCATGAGGCAGGCTTTTGGAGTTTGACTGATTATGGGTGTGAGAGCTACACTCGCCCTGGGGTGGATAGTTTGCATATGTAAGGGAGAGGAAGAGGCTGCTTCTGCCCATTTCCTCCCTTGTGTGTGTTTGTTGCTTTGCTGTGTTCTGCTGCCAGTAGCTGTAGCTCTCTGTCATGTGCCACTCTGCCTTGTAATCTGCCAAGTACGGACTGAAACCTCCACAAACTGTAAGCGAAATAAACCTTTCCTTCCTTAATTTTGGGCGTAAAGTATTTTGTCCCAGCAACGAGAGAAAAGTAACCAAGACAAGCCCTATGTTATTTTTAGAAATTAAACACAGAGACCAGATTTTTCAAGGATGTTGACTTTAGCAGTGTCATTTATTACATTACTAATAAGGGTCAGCAGCTAAATAAGAATAGGAAAGTGGCAAACAAAAGGGAAAGCAGCAGCTTCAAAAGTACAAAATTTCCTTGTTGAAGTTCCTGGCCATAGGTCAGTATCTGTTCCAAACATGTTTAGTAGAGACAGGAAAAAAAGAGGCATTTTCTGGTCTTACCCTACCCCTCAGAACTTGGCCAGTGACTTGGGGACTGCTACCATGTGGATCTTCTGATGTCGGATGAGGTTGCAGTGGCGATTAAAGCTTTTCCCACATGCTAGGCACTGGTGAGGTCGCTCCCCTGTGTGGCTTCTTTGATGCTCAACGAGAAATGAACGGCGACTGTAGCTTTTATCACACTGGCTGCACTGATAGGGCTTTTCCCCCTTGTGGATCCTCTGATGCTGGATTAGACCTGCGCTCTGGCTAAAAGCCTTTCCACACTCTTTACAGTGGTACCGCTTCTGTATATTGTGGATTCCTCGGTGATTAAAGAGCCCAGAACTGCGACTGAAGGTTTTCCCACACTCGTTACATTCATAGGGTCTTTCTCCAGTGTGAGTTCTCTGGTGTCGGGTGAGCCCTGAGCTCTGAGCAAAGCTCTTCCCACATTTCCCACATTGGTGCTGCCCATCTGCCAAGTGGCTTTCCCACTGCCTCTCCACCCTACCTTTACACTCACCAACTTCTTCATGTCCAGGGTCCTGCTGCGACACTGCACAGGGCTGATCATGAAATGTTTTCCCATGTGGCTCCACTACCTGTGGACAGTCTTTCCCTAGCACCAACTCTCTGTCTTTAATCTCAGTCATTTCATCTGAAACAAAAAAAGACAAAGTAAGTGTGCTTTGTTCCCTGAGCCCATGAAAGGACAACTGCTCACAGAATGCTGAGAAGTCTAGCCACAGAAAGGTGTCAACACCTACCCCAGTCTGCCGTCCTACTTACATGTAGCTTAGTCATCCCCATGTGGATGTGGCCTGGGGAGAAATACTTCATAGCTAGGGAACGGTCAAGATCAAGGTGGCTTCTTTCTAAAACCCCCTTCTGAGGTAGAGAGCCTCAAAGGGATACTCTCCAAGTTAAGAGCAAGGTTTATCCTTGCTCTCCCTTTAAGTCTTTGCTCATTGAGGTCCATCTTCATTCTTCTATTTAATACCACAATCTCTATGCCTCATCCATTATACTGTTGTTTTTCTTGGATAGGGTCAATGTTGTCCAGGTTGCTCTCAAACTCCTGGGTTCAAGTGACCTTGCTTCAGCCTCTTTAGTATCTGGGACTACAGGCATGTGTCACTGCACATGGCCCCACTGCACTCTCACCCTTGTCTTCTATTTTTTTATTGCACAGCATGTATCACCTTCTAACATATCACCTTATGTTTTATGTTTAATGCTTACTATTATCTTTTTCTTCCTAAAACGTAATCTTCTTGAAAGCAAAACCTTTGAGAATCACACCTGGCACATACTAGCGCAAAAAATGTTTGTTGAATGAATGAAATAAATGAATTGAAGAAAGAGAACTGAACCCTATCCTACTATTAAGGCCTCAGCTCACTGGCACCTAAGGAAAAAGATGCCCCACTGGACAGTGGACCCTCCTCCACTGGCCAGTATACCCGGCTTTCTCCCCACCTCTACCTGTCTTGTCCTGCACACACCTGCACAGAGCCTTCTTGGGTCTCCTCTCCAAATAGCCCATGATTTTCCTCCTCCTTTTGGTTGGGTGGGGGTTGGGAGGTCACAGTAGGTTTGAGAAACAGGAACATGTCTTTGACCAGTAGGCTCAGTACTGCCCTTTCACTCAATCATCATAACCACTCTGATGTATACCAGGAAACAATATAAAAACTAAGACACTGCCCACCTTTAATAATTACCACTGCCACAACCTTCGTAACAGGAAGCATTTCATTTGCACTATGAAGTGACTGACCACAAAACCTCTTGTCATCATTCCACCTCTTTAAAGAACTTCAGCAGCAGGGTAGAGAAGACATATAAGGTCAGACAGAGAAGATATATAGAAAAAAATTCTTTTATATGTATATATAGAGAAAAAAATGTAGAAAATAATAAACTGACAAGACTAGTTATTGCTAGGTAATAGGATTTGTAAAACTTGAAGTTTTTTGCTATATAAGCTTTTTATTTGGATTATTTATTTACTTATTTATTTATATATTTGTATTTGAAACAAGGTCTTGCTATATAGTCTAGGCTGGCCTTGAACTAACTATATAGCCCAGGCTGACCTCAAACTCTAAATCTTCCTGCCTTAACCTCTTCAGTGCTGAGATTATAGGCATGTACCACCACACCCAGCAATTTGGATTTTTAAAATAATATACATGAACTTAAAAACAAACTCAAACTTAATGATGTAAAGTATGCTTCATTAAAAAGTTGAAAAGCTGAAACTTGAATCTGGGCTTTATAATTTCAAACACGGTTATGTTACTTTGCATTACTGGCTTTTCCTAAATTTGTAACACAACACCTACATTGATACCTGTAGGGAGAACTGTTCAATCTGCAGATGACTTCAGATACTCTACTGCAGACTTAATCATAAATATACTTTAAATCACAGGATATGTTCCATGTAATTGAAATCCACACTAACTGTATAATCTGTAGAGTAGCTGAAATTAATAGAGGCCAGAGCAGAGATGAGAAAGAAGCTGTGACTTTGATATATATGGTGGTGACAATGAAAACAGCCAGGCCTGCCTGTAGACTGTCAGAAGGTTAGTAGGAAGTCAGTGAGAGAGGTAATGCCAGTTATTACCTATGCACAATCAGACAGAAGCTGGAGCCAGTTCTTGAGGCAAGAACTAGAATGAGAAAGTGTGGGCTGTTGGAGACTACCATGAAGTGGCTCCGAGCAGGATTTAATATTAACCAATTGCCTTTCCATGTTTACTTGTGAGCTGTCTAAAGCTTAGGCACCTTGTCTGAAGATAGGCAATGGATTCATAGCAAGTAAACCTCTGTGAGTCCCTGGTCACCCTGAGGCTTGTACTGGCCTGTGACTTCTCAAAGGACAAGATAAGGCCACAGCTGGACATCTGGCTCCAACCCCAATTAACTTCAAGGAGACTGCAGCTGCAGGATCCACACTCCTACAATAAATACCAACCTAAAGATAAGGTAGTTCTCCTGACTGACATAATTACTACTTGGGAAAATTCTCCCAAGGTCCTGCTAGATTCCTGAGTTTTCTTGAGTATCCTTCTTTGTTTCAGAACCAAATAAATACGGGCTGCCCAGAGAAGTCTTTGGCTAAACTTAGAGAACACTGAAGTTGTAAGAGAGTTAGTCCCTCCTGGAGCCCTGAAATCATTTCCACTATCTCACTTATTTAAGCCTTCGCTGTCCACGCGCTCAGGAGATTGCGGGCCTGATCAGCCCACAATAACTAAGGGTTATTTAACCCGATAGTGGGCCGTGCCCAAGTGCCCAGTACTGTATGCCCGGGGTGGCCACAACCACCAAGATTACGGACAAGGAAACTGCAAGGGCTGATCCCGGTGGACCCTTCTACACAGTTGCGGGCCACTAAGCATATTTGCAGTCTTCACTACATAAGCTTCTATATTTGGATTATTTACTTATTTATTTATGAGCCAGTATTTATTTATTTATTTTTGAGCAGTCCAGGCTGGCTCTGAACTCACCAGGTAGTCTAGGCTAGCATCAAACTCAGTCCTTTTGCCTCTACCTCCTGAGTGCTAGTGTGTGGACCTCTAATGCCAGTGAGCAGACCCAAACTGGCAAAGATGACACTGCCAGTTTCTAACAAGAACAGCTGTCATGAATGTTCTGTAGTGAATGCCAAGTGATTTTTATAAATTGTTTTTACTTAATCTTCATGACAATCTTCTAAAGCACATGCTTATTATGAACTATACTGTGTACTCTCACAATCCATACGCTGGCTTCCTACCCTTGGATGTGACTATTAGGAGACAGGGTCATTAAGGAGATAGTCTATCGCTTCTCGGCCTTTTGGCTAAGATCAAGTGTAAGGAGATAGTCTAGGTTAAGTGAGATTGTAAGGTAGAGTCTTTATAAGAAGAGGAAGAGACACCAGAGCTCTCTTCTCTGTACATACACAGAGGAGGCCACGTGAGGACATATTAAGAGGGCCACATACAAGCCAGGAAGGGAGGCCTCAACAGAAACTATACCCAACAGCACTTTGATCTTGGGCTGCCAGCCTTTAGAATCATGACAAAATAAATTTCTGTTGTCTGGGGCACCCAGTCTGCACTATTCTGTTACAGAAGCCTATATAACAGAATGTAGTAAGATGTAATGTAATTATCAATCCCATTTTGTAGATAAGAGAACTACGGTCTACTGGTTAAGTAACCCATTCAGTAATACAGCTTCCCTGAGGCAAATTCATGATATGCAACATCTGTCAAAACTTGAAGCCCATTCTCTAAAGCTCCACTCCAGGGATTCCTGAAAGCTTCCTTACATAGCACGCGCCAGAGTCCAGAGAGCTTCCAGGTAGTCCTTGGGGAAAAGCCTGTAGCAGGGGAGGACAAAGATGGGTAGCGCTACCGCTATGTAGTAAGGAGGCTTTTGACCCCATCCTTCCCTAGCTGAGTTGTTTGATTTTGCTTGAGCAGGAAAGGAATACGCAACATCAAATAAGTCCTGTCCCTCACCTGTCTCTCCTCTAGGATGGAACTCCTGGTCAGGCTCATATGTGAACTGGGGCTCCGCAAGCTGGCACTGAGCGCTCAGTGATGACTGCTCTCCTAGAGGCACTTTCTCTCTGGAGAGGACTTGTCTGTGTCTGTGAGTTACCATCTGGGGACAAAGAAACAAGATCTGATTTCTGAAGACATTTCTGTCTTAAACACTTTCCAGGAAGAGGGGGCGGGAAGGTGGGTCCTATTGCCGAAGTCTAGGGGCTGCGAGGCCCAGGATGCGAGGGTCTTTGGTGCCCCACATATGCACCCTACCCTACCAAGCCTCCCTTGGTACCTCAGGGTATGGTTCATCAAGTTCTCTCTCCAGTTCCTCCAGCAAAATCACAGCCTCCTCCCCACTCTCTGGACAGTGCTCCCTCACCCAGCCCCGCAGCTCCTCGGGCAGGATGGTCAGGAACTGCTCCAGCACCAGCAGCTCCAGGATCTGCTCCTTTGTGCTCACACGTGGCCTCAGCCACTGGTAGCAAAGTTCCCGAAGTTGAGTAAGAGCCTCTCTCGGTCCTGGGGTCTCTTGGTAGCAGAGCTGCCGAAAGTGCCTTCGGAAGATTTCCCTTGCTAGGGGATTATTGCGCTTCAGTCTGGATTCCTGCTTTTGGAGCTGACTTTCTGCCTCAACTTTCACCGTCACAAGTTCTTCCAACAACTCCGGGGCTTGAAAATCCAGGGATAAAACCTGTGCATTCATCCTGACCTTGAGTGGCTGTTAAGGCACCCTTCAAAACACACCTTTGGAGGCTTCTCCTAAGCAGTGAAAAATGGCAATGATTGATGATGGAAATTAATGTCATCAGCAGTTATCAGAGACCAGAAATCTTTTCACTGAAAGTAATTGTATGGGTGAGCAAAAGATGGATATAACAGAAAAAAATAGAATGTTATAATGTACAAAGAGCAGAGACTTCTAAGTTACTCTGACCTGGGTTTGCCTCTGGTTCCAAAACCAGTAATGTGATTTTGTGCCAATTTCTTACTTTCTTTCCATTTTAGCTTCTCTGTATTAAGAACAAACACCTTACACAGTGTATGGATGGGCTGGGGATTATACCTCTGCAGTTAGAGAGCTTGTCTCGGATGTGTAATATCCTGGGTTCAATCCCTAGTGTTGCTAAAAAAGAACAAAAAATCCCCTTACCTAAAAAAGTTCATGCAGGAAGTAGCCCGTGAATTAGGGACCACACAGATGACTCAGAAAGTCTTGATATAAGTTTGGACTAACTGCATAAAATTCAAATTAGAAAGCGAATAATTGGAATAAAGTTCTTGTTCTTGACTAAATGAAAATAACTAACAGTTACTGAAATATTTTCTTTAACTTAAAAAAATTAATCCACAAGACAACCATTTAAGGATGGTACTATTTTCAATAAACTTATGGAAAGCAAAGGTTAGGTGGACTTCAAGTCCTGTGAACTCTCCACGTTGCCCAGCCGCTACCTGAGTAGCCGTCAATACAAACAAATATTTCCAACACAGTTTCGGATTTCTAAGGCCACATTTAATCCTGACAAGTACCGTCGGACATTTTACTGTAATCATCGTTCCCCTAGGTACTAAATGGAGAGCAGTTCAGTAGGTTACCTAAGGTTAAATGCCTTGTAAAAATGTCCTGAGCATTCATAGACACCCAAGAGAGCACCTTTCTGCAGAGCCGCCTTAATGCCTGAGATCCGGGAGGCGCATGGGGTGTGTGACGTGTGAGGTGTGTGTGTGTGTGTGTGTGTGTGTGTGTGCGCGCGCGCGTTATGTGCTGCGCGTTGGCTTGAGCTGGGGTTTTCTCTGCATCTCAGCGTCCCGCCCCGAACCCCTCAGCGCCCGACCCTTGGGTCTCCCTCACCCCAGCGGCCTCACCTAGGTCCTCCCCGCCCCACCTCACCGCTAGCCTCACCTGAGACCCCCGTCTCAACCCCCCGCCCCCGGAGGGTCCCCGGGGTTCGAGTCCCGAGACCTGGACCTGCGGGAAGGTGCGAGCTGAGACTCGGGCGTTGCCTAGGGAGCGGGAACAGAGCCCTCGCTGTAAGATGCAGGCCGGACGGTCCTCCGGTCGAACGTGGCGGCAGCACTTCCGGTAGGTCTAGGATCCTCGTCTCGGTATCGAGCCTCCAGGGCCTGTTCATCTGGAATCCGCCCACTTTCCTACCATCCTGCTGTGGATGACCTGAATTTCACAATTCGAATTTCAGGCGTGACTGGGCCCTGTACAGTTTTATAAACTCTAAACAAACAAAATAACTGATGAAGCACAGGCCATTAGCCTCTGAAAGTGTGTAAAAAGACGTTTTGGAAAAGTAATATACTATGAATAAAAATAAATAATTTCACCTTCCTTAGTCCTGTTCCCTGAGATACCCACTGTCACCGTTAGTTGGGAATTTGTATGTTTCATTTGATCTCTTTCCTTCCTCATTTGCTATAAAAGTTGTCTGGATTTTAGTAATAATACTAAATCCCAAATAAGTATTACTGGTACAAATAAATATAGGTACCGTTAATCATTCATCAATGTTGTGCCAACCAGAGTGGTGGTATGGCATAATCCATATATTAGCAGAATCTCATGATCTACTTTATTATAACAGTAAGAACGAGTCTTTTGTTTTTTCTTTTATAAAGATGATATGCATACATTATAACATCCAGCAGGGTTTCAGAGCACACCAAACACTTTTATGCGATGAAATATGCAGTGTATGGACCGTCAACCTAAGTGGGTTAAATACAAACCACAAAGAATCTGTTTAGTTTACTATAGGATTTACCCTCGGATGCATTTTCATGCCAGTTTTTTTGGAAAAAATACTTAAAGAGTTTTTAGAATTTAAAATTGTGGATAAGAGATACTAAGTACTAGTTTGTAATTTCTTTTAGATCTTGGAATATTTTCAAAATAAAAAATTTTAAAAATCTCTATACCATTCCTGCCAAGAGGTGCTTTTGCCGCTGAGCTAAATCCCCAGCCACTGAGCTAAATCCCCAGCCCCTGAGCTAAATCCCCAGCACCTGAGCTAAATCCCCAGCCCCTGAGCTAAATCCCCAGCCCCCATTTCCATACTTTGAAACATGAGGTATCCTGCTGGTGGAAGGGGTAACTGGTGGCATAACTTTGCTCTGCAGCTTTTTATACTTTTTGAATTGTATAAGTGCAGTGTTTATCAATAACAGAAGTAAGAAGTGGGGCATACTGGTACGTGCCCATAATCCCACCACTCTGGGAGTCCGAGGCAGGAAGATTACAAGTTCAAACCCAGTCTGTGCAATTTAGCTACTTAGTAAGATCTTGTCCCACGACAAAAATAAAATAAAGATGGAGGAGTGTGGTGATGTAGCTCAGTGAGAAGCCCCTGGGCTCACTCCCCCAAACCACACACATACACCCGCATGCACACAAGTGAATAAAATAAGTAAATAAATGGAATGTGGTATTCATTTTCCTCTCTACAGCTCAGCCCAGTCACAAGTAGAAACTACACAGCACTGACAGTCTTTGCCTTCCTCAGGAAGAAATCAGTCCTAAGAAGGAATATTGCATGGATTGCTCTTTTCAGTTCCACCCCATTTCTAAGACAGACACCCTTGGCCCTGTCAAATATGGGGATCCACAGTCCCCATAAATGGTTCGTTTAAAAGTTAGCATATAACTGGACGCCAGGGGTATGCGTCTGTGTCCCATCTACTGGGGAGGCTGAGGCGGATCCCGAGCCCAGGGGTTGCAGGCCAACACGGTGAGCGCCTGACTCGAAAATAAACAGGTGAAAATTTAGCATGAAAGATGACCGATGAAAGTTGCAGCGGAGATAAGATTTGGTCTGAAAATGCCTTCGTTGCGTCCCAAAGTTTGGGACACCTAGTTTTGTGTATAGACCAGAGGACTCTGTCAGGTCCTTTGAACTGGCCAGGCAGTGCTGCCGTGGCCCTGGAGTTCAGTTCTCCGCTTAGTGGGGAATCCCAGCAAGTCCAGATTTGTGAGCAGGGAGGATCTGGCAGGGATGGAACCTGACAGGCGGGCAAGCCTGCGGAGGAAGCGGAGAACAGGGAAGAACGCGGAGATTACCCCACTGGGAGGTGACTAAGGAATTCGCCCACCAAAAGTTACGCTCCCACTGGAGCCCGGCAACAGGATGAAAGAGCCACGCGCCGACGAGGGTGGGATTCGAACCCACGCGTGCAGAGCACAACGGATTAGCAGTCCATCGCCTTAACCTCTCGGCCACCTCGTCCGTGGGGCCGCCCGCTCGCGCGCCTCCTCGCGCAGGGCTGCAGCTGCCGGGCGTGGGAAGCGCGGTCCAAGCCGCGGCCCCGCTCCGGACCCGCCTCCGCGGCCCGGGCTCCCGCGGTGGAGCGCAGCGCGCGCGGGCACCGCAGCGGAGCTCATCCCAACACCCCCGGGCACCGTCGCGTCCCTTCCGCCCCTCGGGCGGTCCCCCGCGTCTCCGCGGCGTCCTGGACCTCGCCGATCAGGCCGCTACCGGGGCCGCAGTCTCAGGGCGGCTCTGGGGAGGCGGGCGGGTAGGGGACACGAAACAAAGCCTGCAGGGGAACACAAAAACAAACAAAAAACAAAAAAACCACCACATATATTCAAAAACATAAAGTTGTGATGAAGGAATCAGTAACTAAAATTTGCCTAGAAAATCTGTGTAGCCAATACTAAGCACTGTGAAAGCCGCTTTAAGTTACTGTAGTTTCTCTGACTCTACTAATACAATAAATAATAAACTATCAATTAATAATCTCCAGTTCTGGTCAACAAAACCAAACCTGTAGGGGAACAACAACAAACAAAAAATAAAAAAACTACCACATATATTCAATTCACAGATGAGAGTCAAATGGTAAATATGCAGTATTTGAAACTACTTCTAACTTGTGTGTAACAATATTTAAGGTATTAATACATCATCTACCACTTCCTATTCCCACTTTAGATTTCTGAAATCATGAAAGTAAATAGCCTGGCCAAGTTGACAAAAAATTGTATGAGGTCTATTAAAACCAATAAGACTCAAGGTTGGAGATGTGGCTTGGTGGTAGAATAGTTGCCTACCACACTTGAGGCCCTGGGTTCAATTCTCATCACTGCTAAAAAGGAAAAAGAGAATGAAGAACCCTTCAGAAAATTATGGTAGAGAAACAGCTACACTATGTCGGGCCCTGGCCTAGGACCACTAATCTCCTGCTCAGGGATGCGAGACAGAATAATACACAGACAAAATACATATTTTAGTTACACGGGCAACCAGGATAGTCAAAGCCCAGTGACTGGCTGAAGACCATGAAGCTTAGTGTCCATGTGGTCAAGATTCAAAAGTTGAGGAACAGGGCTAGGGGTATAGCCCAGTGGCACAAGAGCGTGCCTGGTAAGCGCAAGTTCCTGAGTTCGAGTCCCAGTACCAAAAAAAAGAAAAAATTGAGAAACAGTGCTTTTTGGAAAAGCACCCAGGATTAAATCATGGGTAACTAGTAACCCGACTGTCTGCTAACTGCGGCTACAGAGCTGGAAGGCATTTGCATGAAGTCCTGGGCTTTGAGGTGCCACAACTTCACAGGGTGTTTGCTGGCCTCAGCTCTGGCTGTTGGCGTAAAGATTAACCGGAGGCAGACACGTAGGCCTAGGACAGACTGTCAATTTATTTTGTTCCAGTTTATTATGTTAATTATTGCCTGCTCTGTACCGTGTCGGGCTGGTTCTCAGCAACACTAGTGTGAAACACTCATACAGTGCAACGATAGACATCAGTATTATTTTTAATGGTCATACACTAATAGTTTGCTTCACCATACATTATATAATGAAGTATTCTGTTTTAGAGGAGTTGGAGAGGTTTTAATGTTAAACTACCAATGTTGCAAGACTGATGTCTATTTATTAATTTGCAAGTTTTTCCACCGTTAAGGTAAAAAGGTAGGCTGGAGAAGAGTATGTATAGTTTGTTTCAGATGATAGATTTAGAGCATTTAGATATGTAGTGTCAGGGTGGGTCTTTTAGCTTTAGCCTCAATTTTATAAAGGTACTAAACTTAAGAGTTTCATGTTATCTTCAAAGGGGTATTGTGGAGGTACATGTATATCTGTGTATATAGTAGACATACAACCATTGTGTATATCTTTATGAGTTAAATTAAAAGTTTTCAACACGTCTCAATATTTTCAAATTTTACTTGGCATTTCTAATTTTTATATGCTAGCAATGAAGATGACATGAAATTTTACAAGCTGTGGAAGACTGATTGACATACACATAAAACATACTCTAACAGATACATACCAGTTCTTAACAGCTGGCATCTCTAGGACTATGAAGCCTTTTAACTGTCTTTGCAAGATTTTTTTCCCATTTTATGAGTATTCTCTAGTAAATTTTGAAAATAAAGATGGATTCAAACAAAGTATTTAGAAGAGTAGTCAAGAGAGCCAAAAATGCTCTCAAATGAGATAAGAGATTAAGAAGTGACCACCTGACTTAGCAATTTCTTTCTTTCTTTCTTTTTTTTCTGGTACTGGGAATCAAACTTACGACCTCATACTTGACAGGCAGGTGCAGGGCCACTGAGCTATATTCCCAGCCCAGTAATTTCTATGTTACGCATGCTAGAGTTCCATCTTAGTGTTTAAGGTGGTGGACAATACCTGTAAGCAGTCTGTTTCCACACAGAATTTCAGGAGAGTGGTGGGGGGAGGCTTTTAACCTGAGGTATAGCAGTGATTGTATTTGCCCCCGTGCCTGAGCAAACACTTGGACATTCTTGCTACCAGAGCTTCCTGACCTCATCTTTTTGTTGGCTTGTTTTTGCTTTTTGAGACAGAGTCTCACTACGTAGTTCAGAGTGGCCTTGATCTCACTATGTAGTCCAGGATGGCCTCAAACTCACATAAATCTTCCTGCTTCAGCCTCCCGAGTGCTGGCATTACATGCACCACCACACCTGGCCTGACCTCATTTCTTAACTCATCAGTCTATAGGGGATCAGGATTGTATCTCTCCACTTTTTGCAGTGCAGATCTGGGTTATATTTCCCATTTTCACAGGAAGAATATTAGATTTCCAGAAGATGCTTGAGCACAACCCCCTCTGAGGCAGAGTCAGAGCAGGACTCTGGGTGGTGCCCTGCACCAACAGTGTTTCAGCCCCTTCTCTGTCCCCTCACACCCTCATACCCACCCTTCTTCAGCATGGAGACCACTCACATGATCTTTTTCTCTCTCCTTGTCTCAGTCTTCTTCTCCTTTTCCGCGTAAA